GGTTGGGTTTGAATCTGCCACCTCCAGCATATGGGACCAGCACCTGACCCTTGTGAGCCACAGACGCCGCCCAGCTGTGTGTTTTTAAAACAGGTTTTTTTCACTTGTCTCACATGGCACCAGGGGATGGGTGGACTGTAATGGAAGTGATTAGGCAGGGGCTGGAAAGTCTAGGAACACTGGAGAGGGCAGAGGCTGGGCCACCTGCAGGACCTATTTTGCTCTGATCCCAGCCTGATGCCCTGTGTAGGGCTGTCCCTTGGTCTCATGCTGGGCTGGGCTTTGGTGTGGCCTCCTGTGCTCTGAATGCCTTTAGATGGTGCCTCAGAGGAGAGCTGGAAGGACCCAGGCAAGCTCTGCTCTGGTCCTGGTGGGTCATTCACTCGTGCTTGTTGTGCACCTACTCTGTGCCAAGTCATTCCCCAAGTTGTTGGGGTGCAAGTGAACGAAATAGATAGCATCTCTGCCCTCAGAGGGCTTATGCAGGAGATGCTTGACACAGACCCCCATGTGTTGAGGGTCAGTGCCATGAAGAAAGGCAACAGGACAGGGTCAGGAGTGGGGTCAAGAGCAGTCCCACCTAGGGTGGTAAGGGCAGGTGTCTCTGAGAAGGTGAAATGTGAAGAGAGCTGAATGAGGTGAGGCAGGAAGCCAGGAATATAGAGGAAGAACATTCTAGGCTAAGGGAACAGTGTCAGAGCTCTGAAGAAAAATAAGAATGCCACCAGGTGCCGTGGCTCAGGTCTATAATCCTAGCACTCTGGGAGGCTGAATAGGGTGGATTGCTTGAGCTCACAGGTTTGAGACCAGCCTGAGGAAAGAGTGAGACCCCATCTCTACTAAAAATAGAAAAACTGAGGCAAGAGAATCACTTGAGCCCAAGAGTTTCAGGTTGCTGTGAGCTATGATGCTATAGCTCTCTACCCAGAGCAACAGCTTGAGATTCTGTCTCACCCCCCCCGCCCCCCCCCCAAAAAAAAAAGAAAGAAAGAAAGCAAAGAAAAATAAGAGTCAGGTCTGGCAGGTGGCAGGCAGGAGGATGTTGAGGCTGTTGGGCCTGGTCTATGGCAGATAATGCAAAGTTTATTCTAGGTGTGAAAGGATGTCTCTTGAGGGTTTAGAGGAGGGGAGCCACTTGATCTGTGGTTTTAAAGGATCACTCTGGTTGCCTGGGATCCAGGCCTGAGTGAGTAGTATGTGGACAGGTGGGAGCAGAGGGTTGGGATGACACCTGTTGAATGCATTATGGATTTTGAAGGTAGAACCAGCACAAAGTCTGGGGCAGGGGGGTATGTGTGGGGTGAAACGAATCGAGGCGTTAAGCTTAGGGCTAGGTTTTCCCTGTGACACATGTGAATGGGTGGACATGGTGCCATTGATGAGAGTTGGGTGGGATGGGGAGCTGGGATGGGCACTGAGAGACCAAGGCATGTTACTATGGAAATATTGATAGCTGCATGAGGTAAGCAAGTGAAGGAGACATCAGGGTATTTGACCTGGGGGAGTGGCCAGGGATCTAGAGGGCTGGCGATCTGGATCTGTAAGTCAGCAGTATATAGATGGCATTAAAGCCTGCAATTATGAGCTCACCTAGAGGGCTCAGGGGAGGACGAAGGGGCTAAGACTGCAGGGTGAGCCCCATTGGCATTTAGAAGGGTCTGGAGAAGGAGGAGGGGCAGGAAGGAGGGCAGCCAGGAGCATGTGCTTGTTGTCCAAGGTGGAGTGTGCCAGTGAGTGGCTGGGGGGAATGAGCAGCTGTGTTGGATGAGGTCAGCTAGGACTTTAGAAAAAAGATTTGGTCCCCAGCTTTGGCAAGAGGGAAGTAAGGATCTGAGCCCTTGAAGAGTGGTGGGGATGGGGCCAACAGGATGTGGGTGGGTAGTAGCCATCCTTTGGGCTCACTCCCTGTGTCAGCATGGGACACCTGGGAAAGAAAGGAAGTGGCTGTGCCGTCCATGGAGAAAAAACACCAGCCAGTTATATGTAATTCAGAAGGAGGACTGAGAAGCAGGAAATTCACATGGTTTGGTGGGAAGGGCCAAAGATGAGCCCTCTGGAGCACTAGCCCCTGTGCCCTGGGGAGCTTTGGCATGAGCCCAGTGCTACACCCAGTGCTGGAGGACAGTGCCTGGCACTGGGATGTGCCCTGTGAATATTAGTTGAACAAATGAGTAAGGAGCGAGTGAATGTCTGAACCGAAATGTGGGACCCAGCCCTTCTTCTTGCTGCCTGGTATTTTGGTCCTGGCCCTGCTTTGTCTTGCTTTGTAAAACATAGGGATCAGGTCCTGGCAGAACTTTCTCACTTGGGGTTCACAGACCACTGTGGGAACCAGCAACGGAAGACTGTGAACCCTCTGAAATTCCATAAAAATACTGGGCATGTGTGCATTTTCTGAAACTCATGTGGTCCAGAAGAGACCTCCCAGGCCTTTCTTTATGGGGTCAGTTCTTCCAGCTTCAGCCCTGGGCATAAGCCTTGAGAATACACTGGAAAGTTGAGAGTCCGGGAGAAGCCTCGCTCTCTTGCTCTTACTTATGGGGAGATGCTAATGAATGGCAGCAAAATGCCAGTGCTGTGTAAAGCAGTTAAACAAAACTAGGAGGCAGCTTTATTTGTGGAGATCATGACATATATTTTATATTGAAAAAAATCTTCAGTGGGTAGTGGGCCCTTTTGTTCCGGTGCACATGGGACAGCCTAGTCCCTGCAGGTGGGAGGTCGGGCTTAGGGGTGCTTATTATCTTCTGGGGTGTACAAATGCAGACTTTTATTAACTCAGTAGTGAATAACCCAGCATTTCCTGGGCACACATGTGTGGTGCTGACTGTAGGTACTGTGGAGAAGAGGAGGTTCAGCCCTTGCCAGCTGCTTGTCTCTGCTTGGAGTCCGTCTCCTGCGCTGGAGGCCTGGGGAGGGTGGCAGAGTTGGGGCTGGGCTCTGTCCCCCGTTCCCTCACTTTGGGGTGGTGCCCAGTCCTATGCAGAGCCTCACCCTGCACTGGAAGGCTCTGAAGGCACCTGGGGTCAGCCCTCATGAGGGACGGTATCTTCTTACACACCAGATAGTGCACTAAAATGAGTTGAGGGTTGCACAGTGGAGATGGGCCAGGGGACAGCCCGATATCTGTGTCTCTGCAGGTCCATCTGGGGTTGAAGGAATTGGTTCAGACATTCAGGGAAGGCAGGTGGTACAGGTTATCTGGAGAACCTCAATGTCCCTCTGTTGTGGGTTAAAAGCCCCTGTCCTCTGTAGGGCCACCTTGGATGTGAACCAGGAGCATGCTCGGGCTAGCAGCATGGACTTTGCTCTGTGAAGCTTGTTGACAGTGCTGGTTTCAGACCTAATTTTCTCTCTCTCTCTCTCTCTTTTTCCCTGCCTCTGCTTAGTTGGCTGGAGTCATCTTCCTTGGAGTCGGGCTGTGGGCATGGAGCGAAAAGGTAGGTGTTACTGTTACTAGCACCCTGAGCATCAGGCAGCCCCAACTGGATTCGTTGGACTTTAATTTTCCTCTCCTCCAATCTGTTCCCTGACAATGAGCATTTCTAATGCTGTGTGAAGGTTTGTAGCCATTAATCTCCACAGAACCATCTCCCGGCTGCTCTGCTCCCTAGTGGCAGGGGTTTTGAATTGTAAACCCTGTGATTGTGGAGAGCCTTCTTTTCTGTTTCCAGGTACCCCCAGTTGCCCCAGGCTTCCTTGCAGCTGTGCTCAGCACAGGCTTGGGGCTGACCTCTTGACCCATCTATGCCTCTGGGGTCTGGAAGCAGTCCCTGAACACAGTGGCGTTTGTCCCTGAAGCTCTTGTCCTAGTCCACAGAAAGAATCCCGAGAATTGGAGCAGGGCTGAGCTGTGTGCCCCTGGGCACCCTGTGGGGGCAGAGGCAGGTCTTTAAGCACCTGTGGAGGGGTGGTAGAGAGGGGAGACTAGGTAGGCTATTGTCTGGAAGGACTAGGGGTAGGCACAGCTGGGAGTGAGGGGGAGACTAGAGTATGGGTGGAAGGAGCTGCTGCCTCTTGTTGCCATGTGGAGGTCCTGAGGGCTGAACAGGGCCCTCACTATAGGGCCAGGAAGGAGGAAGAGGAGAGGTGTGGCAGGAAGGGATGGAGCAAAATGGAGCAGGCTGGGCAGGAAACAGTGGGAACTAAAGCTTTCTCTAGAACCTTAGGCCTAGCTCCCTCTTCTTTTAGTGGAACCTCCCTTTGTTTGGGTCTGTGGGCTTTCCCACCATAACCTTAGGGACTCAGTAAGACCCACCTTCATGTTTGGGTGGCCTCTTGAAGGGCAAGAGCTGGGGTGCAATATTCGTCTGCCCCAGTGACCCAGAAGCAAGTGCAATCTGTGGCTTACAGCGCCATCGTGTGGCCTTTAAGAGAGTTTATTTAGATGCATAGATTGAGGATGGCTGGCTAGGAAGCACAGATGCTTAAGAATGGAAGCCAGCGATCCAAAGTGTAGCAATTTCGGATCATTTATATAGTCAGAGCTCAGGGAAGATTAACAGAATTTTAGCATCTTTCCTTGTAAGGCCTAATGCATAGGTACAATGATCTGAATAATCGAGATAGTTTTTTTCTTTCAGGAAAGGTATATTTAATACTCCACACTGAAAAGTAACTGTCATGGATAACTGTCCATGGTCTTGGATGCCATCTGGCCTGAGTTTGGTACAGGACAATGAAGGAGGCAGCTAATCTATAGCAAAGTTCAGCTGGAAGCTGAGAGGTCTAGTCTTCCTCGTCATTTATAGAACAAGAAGAGAGATTATAGAACATGAAGAAGAGATTAAACTAAAATCTAAGAAGCAGAATTATAAACAAGCTATGTAACTCAGCCCCCAGGGCTTAATTTCACCCCTAGCGGTTACAAATCCTGTAGTACTGCTCTGCCCATTGTGGTTTTCACTAGCTACACGTGACTGTTCATGTTTAAATTTAAACTAATTGAAATGCAATACAAATTTAAATTTGGTACTTAACGTCTCAACTAGCTACACTTTGAGTGGTTTGGCCAGTGGCTACCATATTGGACAATGCAGGTATAGAACACCCACCAATTGTTCTACGACAGTGCTACCTTTGTCTACCCTTGGTGGGTGTGTTTTCCACGAGTTAGTGGGCTTCGCCATTAATTGAGTGCCAAGTTACAAAGTTGGCCACACCAGGCCTACCTCAGGCACCCTGCAGGCTACCAGGGAAGTCTGGCACCTGCCTAGTGGGGACTCACAGCCTGGGTGGAGGTCAGGAACCACTTTCTATGAGGGCCCTGGGGGTTGAGGTGGGCAAAGATCTGTTGGCCAGAGGGGCCTCTGATGGGATGGGTAGGGACCTCCCTCTGGCCTGGCTTTTGATGAAATGACTGAGCCTCTGAAGGCACATCCCTGTCCTCAGTGCAGCAGCACACTTCCCTCGAGTGTGGGGAGTCTGAGGCTGCCCCATTTTCTCTGCCTTTTTCAGGGCGTGCTGTCCGACCTCACCAAAGTGACCCGGCTGCATGGAATCGACCCCGTGGTACTGGTCCTGATGGTGGGCGTGGTGATGTTCACACTGGGGTTCGCCGGCTGTGTGGGGGCTCTGCGGGAGAACATCTGCCTGCTCAAGTTTGTGAGTGCACAGCCATGGGGATGGATGGGGCTAGTGGTGTGGGCTCTGCTGGGCAGGGGTTATATGTTACATGGTACAAGTGGGGAGCAGTTCTTAGAAGCCTCCTCCAGGCCCCAGCTGCTGCCCTACAAAATGGTAAGATTTCAGGAAAAATCAGATGAGCTGACTCCACAGCCTGGGAGAAGTTGTTTCCCCTTGGTTTTTAGCCCCTGGTAGGAGGAGTGAGCTGCTCCTAGGCCAGCATTCCTCCTCCTTTTTTGCCTTTTATCTTCCTTCAGAAGTTCTGAGGGAATTGTTTGTTTGCTATCCACCTTTGGCCTTCCTGGCTAAGATCAAAAGATGTTACCAGTTAAGAAGTCATTTCCCTTATCCAGGGTGTGTGAATCTGTTGGATGTGCAGTACAGAATCCTTAATTTCCTGGCAGAACTGTGAGTTACAAAGATTTTAGTTTTATATTTAGATACAAATTCATTTTTAAGTGCATTCAGTTAGAATTAAATAGCATCTATAGGGGAAAATGCATCATCTTTTTCTGTACTGTATTATGTGTTAAGTATATTAGACCAAGCCTTTTCTTTCCTGGGCTTAATTTAAAGAGTAAAGAACATGGGATTTTTCTTCTTAGTTTTTTTCTTCTTTAAAAATATTACATTTAGTATCTCGTTTCTGTGTGAACAGAGATTATGTTCTGGAGGGCTGCACGTGCATTCACGTGTTTCTCCTCTGTTTTACTTTGAAAGACTCCTCCAGTTTTGCTAATTATGACAAAACTGCTTAGTGCCTGGTATGGCCAATGATAATGGCTGTGAGAACACAGACTCTGCAGGTTGGGAGTCTGCTCTGATGGAAGGGGGTGTGGACCTGTGGCTCCAGTGGCAACACTACCACAGTTTGTGGCTAGGGGCAGCCAAGCTTCTGGAGAGGTCTTTATACTGCTAGTAGTCATATACTTACTGTACAGAGTGGGTCTAGATAATGTTGGCACCTCCAGAGTTGTCATGAGACCTGCCAAGGAACTCACAAGTCCTTCTTGAGCTGTGTGACCTCACACAAGCTACACACCTGACTGAGCCTGTTTCCTTGTCCCGAAAGTGGAGGTACCAGATTAGTTTTCTAGGGTCTCGGGTGGTTGTGTGTGCACAGGGAGTGGTCAGGTTGTGTCTGGGGCACAGTTTCTGTTCTTAAGGAGGTGACACTTCTGGTGGGGAAGGACAGCCATTCATTGGAGGAGTGATATGCATTCCTTCTTGTCCAGTGAGGAGGGCTGCTTTATAGGAAATTATTGACACATTGGTTTGGAGCTTTCTCATACTTTTTCATTCATTTGGCTATTACCAGACAATGCAGTGACCTGGGTAGCGGTGACTATTTGCTTTTTATAGATGAAGTGAAGTTGCCCAGAGTCACCCAGGGTCTTAGCATGGGTCCCTCAGGTGCAGAGCCCATACTCTCTGTGGCAGGCTGTGGTTCTGCACCAGGCAGGGTGTGTGTGTGTGTGTGTGTGTGTAGGCTGGGCTGATGGCGTGGTAACTCTCCTTCCATTCTCATGCCTGTGCAGTTCTGTGGTGCAATTGTGCTCATCTTCTTTCTGGAGCTGGCCGTGGCCGTGCTGGCCTTCCTGTTCCAAGACTGGGTGAGGGACCGGTTCCGGGAATTTTTCGAGAGCAACATCAGGTCCTACCGGGACGACATCGACTTGCAGAACCTCATTGATTCCCTTCAGAAAGCCGTAAGCAGCAGCCCCCGTGGGCGCTCTGCTGGAGCGTGTGCTGTCCTGTGAGCAGTCTGTCTGTGCTGCTCCAGAGCAGAGGCTGGGGGAGAACATGGGGACCTCCCTCCTGGGTTTCCTGCTTGTGCCTTGGTGGGCAGCAGGGAAGGAAAGGGCCGCCTCCACCTCTGGTCAGCTCAGCTTTGCCTTTTCCTGGTTGCCCAGGAGTCTGGGCTCTCTCTCAGCTTGGACCCCCTCCCCCCCATTTGGATTGGAGAGGCAAGTTCAGTTGTCAGGGGTACAGCCACCCTCACCAGGCGCCCACCCCTCCCCTGCTCTAGAAGGGGGCCCAGATCCTTTAGCCCTGTCCAATAGCCATGCAGGCTGTAGTCCTCTCTGGAAGCGCTGTGGATAACCAGGATAGAGGGCCCCCAACCCCAGGCTTGTGACTCACTGTCTGAGACTATTTCTGTCTCCTTCCTCACCCAGACCTTTTCCCCTTCCCATTTGAGAAGGCAGAGCTGCCCAGAGGAAGCTTCCTCAGATGGAGAGGAATGTAACCTCCCTGGAATATGTCCCCAGGGGGTTGTCTAAGCAGTCCCAGGCTGTGGCCTTTACTCCATCTGGCCCTGTCTCCCCTCCTGTGCGACTGCACCTGGAGGCTTGCACCACGGCCCCAGGCCCCCTGGGAGGAACCCACTCTCTATCCCTGTTGGCCTTTGGGAGGCTCTTCTTTAATCTTTGTGCTGCCAGAAAGCCCAGCTTCCTCAGGAACTTTTTATATGGAACATTTTGGTTCTGATAAGAAAATAAATTAGAAAACATTAAAAATAACTATGACCTACTTTCATTATTTTATTATTTTATCTATTTATTTAGTCTCACTCTGTTGTATAAGCTAGAGTGCCATGGTATTAGCCTAACTCAACAGCAGTCCTCCTGCTTCAGCCTCACAAGTAGCTAGGACTACAGGCGCTTGCTACTATGCTCCATTAATTTTTCTATTTTTATTTATTTTTTCTTTTTCCTTTTTTTTTTTTTTCCAGACAGAGTCTCACTCTGTTGCCCTGGGTAAAGTGCTCTGGCATCATCATAGCTCACTGCAGCCTCCTGAATACCTGGGACTATAGGTGCCTGCCACAATACCTGGCCAGTTTTTCTATTTTTAGTAGAGATGGGTCTGGCTCTTGCCCAGCTGGTCTTGAACTCCTGAGCTCAAGTAATCCACTCACCTCTGTCTCCCAGAGTGCTAGGCTTACAGGTGTGAGCCCCTATGCCCTGCCTAATTTTTCTATTTTTAGCAGAGATGAGGTCTCACTCTTGCTCAGGGTGGTTTCAAACTCCTGAGCTCCAGCTATCCTCCTGCCTCAGCCTCCCAGAGTTTGAGGATTACAGGTGTGAACCACCTCATCCAGCCTGACCCAGTTTCATTATTAACCCAAATTTGTTTACCCTTATTTCATGTATCATGGGATCAGCAAAACCCATTTATGCGACTAAAGATCCTTCCTATATTGTTATTATTGACCTTTTTTAGTCTGTGACTGTCACCAGATCCTATCCATTTTCAGATGTTGCTCCCTGTTTTAGTGCTACAGTTCTTTTTTCATTTTCTCACAGGCTTGCTGGTTCCCATGTGCTAGAGTACCTTGCCTTGCCTTAAAGACATTGTAGTTTTTTCCATAGCCTCCTTTTCCTTTTAAAAATAAAATTTCCCAGAGGCATTCAGTAAATTATGGAGATTTCTGAGGTGAAATATAAGGTAATCATTAAAGCAACTAGAACAATGGGGATTGGGGAGTAGGGAGATGGGATTTTACCTTAGAAATAAAAAAGGAAAGTGTGGGGGGGCAGAAATCCCAGTAGTCATTTATTATGATTGCTGCCATGACTATGATAACGCTGTCGGCTGTAAGTGCACGGGCAAAATCAAAATCTGCTCGTGGGTGAAGTTGCTGTTAACGTCACAGTGATGCTTTCAGTGTGTTTGGTTTTTAGATTTTTTTAGACAAGTGAGGGTTCTTTGCAGCTCCACCAGATAATAGGACGGGAGAGCAGAGGCTCCGGGTGGGGGGCCAGACCTGTGATTGTGTTACCCATTTACCCCAATGCTATGTCTTTTCCTTGGGAGTAGACATTCCCCAGCTGATTTTTGTAAAAAAGCAAAAAATGGAACCAGAGCCAGCCTGGAAGTTTCTCAGGAAGACAGTGGCCATGAGGAAATATTCTCTCAGGGGCAGTAGAGGGCCACATCAGAGGTGTAGGAGTGGGGGGAGGGGCTCAAAGGAGAGGACTAGGCAGCTGGAGCTGCAAAGTGAGACAGAAAGGGCAAGCTCCTGGCTGAGCCCAGTGCTGCACCAGAGTCAGCCTTGTGTGTTGGATACAGGAGGTGCCTTGGCCACTGTTTATTTCCTTTTTTTCCTTTAAATTTGTTATTTATTTTTAGAGATTGAGGTGTCGGTATGTTTCCCAGGCTTGCTTCGAATGCCTGGGCTCAAGCTGTCTTCTCACGTAGCTGAGACTACAGGTGCATGCCACTGCACCTGGCAACACAGTTTCCTTCTTAAAAAGGCTGCCTATCTCCCTAGCTCAGCACCCCTGTGCACGTGGGAGGTAGTGGGGTAGACCTTGATTTCTCTGTGTGACTCTGGTGTCAGCAAGACTGGTATCCTATGCCAGGCAGCCTGGGTTCTGGCTCAGCCCCTGATGGTTCTGGCTATTGTGATTGCAGAACCAGTGCTGCGGGGCGTTCGGCCCTGAAGACTGGGACCTCAACGTATACTTCAACTGCAGTGGCGCCAGCTACAGCCGTGAGAAGTGTGGGGTGCCCTTCTCCTGCTGCGTGCCGGATCCCGCGGTGAGTTGGCCTGTGCTTGGGCACATGGAGCCTATGTCCCTCCAGAAGCCCTACAGTTCCTGAGGCTCTTGTGGCTCTGAAATCTACGTGTAAGTTCTTGTGAGCCCAGCTCCGGCTCTAGTGTTCTGGGAGAAGCAGGAGAAAAATGGTACTATGCCTACCTGGAGGGGCTGTCATTGTGGCATCTGGCCAAGATGCTATGATTGTAGCAATCCCTGGTTGGCCCTATTTAGTGTTCTGTCTTTGGAGAAAATGCCTGGTACTCAGAAGTTCACAGGGGCTGTGGGGGTACCTTTCACTGTCGAGGGGACAGCATCTCAGTAGTGGAGGATTATTTCCTTTTCTTCCTTCACCTGTTTTTACCTGCAGTCAAAGGCACAGGTCCTTGGGTTGCAGAAGCTGGGCTCCTCCCATGGAGGAGCTCTGAATTTTGCCTGAACTGAACCTGAGCAGAACTCAGTTCTTTGTGAGCTTTCTGTGCAGTTATGTAATGCCCAGTATCTGGTCACAGGGCTCTGAGGAGGCAGGGCGGGCATTGCTGCTATTACATGGGCAAGTTCCCAGCCTGGAGAGGCGCAGATGTGCTGGAGTTGCTCAGCTAGTGTCTGGAGTCTCCACTGTGACTGAAATATTCTAGTCTAGCAAGTGTTGCTTTTAGCAAGTGTAACCTTTACCTCCTAGCAGAGAGATTGACAAACTATGGCTCAGGGGCCAAATCTGGTCTGCTGTTCTTCTGACTTACGAGCTAAGAATGCTTTCAGCTATTTTTAAATGGTTGAAAATAAGTCAGAAGGAGGATAATACTTTGTGGCACATGAAATTCAGATTTTGGTGTCTGAAGTTTTCCTGAAATGCAGCCATGCTTATTCATTTACACATTGTCAGCATCTGCTCTCATGCCACCAAAGCAGAGTTGATTCTATGTGTGAAATATTTACTCTTTAGCCCTTCACAGAAAAAAGGTTTGCTGACCCCTGTCCTAGCCTGAAACGTTAATTGGCAGCATGACTGAAGGACATGAGCTGTAAAATGGAATTTGCACAGGTGTTTGCTGGCATCTGGTTGTGACTTTTCTAGAACTTCCTACCACCAGCTTCTTGAGAGACCAAAAGTGACTTAAAAGTGACTTTTTTTTTTTTTTTTTAACAGCAAAAAGTTGTGAACACACAGTGTGGATATGATGTCAGGATTCAGGTGAGAACTGCAATATGTACAACTTGAAGAATTCTTTAGATTAACAGTTATTTAGCTTTTATTCTCTGTAGTCCAACTTCCTGATTTAGCACAAGTGCAAACTGAAGTAGAAAAACCAGGGGTGATTAAGCTCCAGGTGCTTTCTAATCTGGGAGTGAGCTGAACAGGGGCACAGTGGCCACACCAACTGCTTCCTGAGCCGGTGGCAAAGCCCCAGGAGCAGTGATAGGTGGAGATTTCAAGCCCTATAAACTATAATCCCCAAACTTAGCAGTTATTGCATTAAAGAGATGGGGTGGGGCTGGGCACAGTGGCTGTAATCCTAGCCCTTTGGGAGGCTGATGAGGAAGGATTGCTTGAACTGAAGAGTTCAAGACCAGCCTTGGTAACATAGTAAGACCCCATCTCTTTAAAAATAAAAATTATCTGGGCATGGTGGTGTGTGCCTGTAGTCCACGATACTGGGGAGACTGAGGCGGGAGGATCCCTTGAGTTCCAGGCTACAGTGAGCTATGGTCATACCACCATATTCTAGCCTGAGCAACAGAGCGAGACTCTTGTCTCTTAAAGAAAAGAGGTAGGATGGAAATGTTGAGAACAAAGACTGCCTTTTTGTGAGGCTACTTGGGTCCCCAGGAGTTGTCTTTTATGGAGGGGTTCTGGATAAAGCTGCAGGAATGTGTGGCTTGGTCTGACCTCCATGTGGAGACAAGGTGGGAGACTGGTCTGGAGTGAGGCTCTTTCCTTCAGGCTGCAGGGAGTGTGAAGAGTGGCAGCACCCACCCCAAGGATGCAGACAGAGCTTTCTACCCCACTCTAGGCCTTGTTCTGGTGTGGTCTTTGGGGTGATAGGAAAGACTACTGTTCTAAAAGGCAGGTGTCGGGGAATCTACAGAGACCCTTCCCGTTAGCCATGGACACAAGGTACGTGTCCCTGCAGCCTGGAAAACTCAGCGTCCTCCTTCAGTAAGCTCCATTTCACAGGAATGAGTGCTATAGATTGAAAGTTCATGTCTTCACCAAATTCTGTGTTGAAACCTAACGCTGAGTACAATGGTTTTTGAAGATGGGACCTTTGGGAGATGATTAAGTTGTGAGGGCAGAGCTCTGAGGAATGTGCCCTTACTTATGAAAGAGACCCTGGAGAGCTTATTCACCCCTCCCACGCGGTGAGAATACTGAGAATGTGCTGTCTGTGAGCTGCAGAGCAGGGCCTCACCAGACACGGAACCTGCCAGCACCTCGTTTTTGGACTCCCCAGCCTCCAGAACTAAGAGAGAAATTTCTGTTTATAAGCCACCCAGTCTATGGTATTTTGTTATAGTAGCTTGAATAGACTAAGAGATCTGTACTGATGTCAGCTTCTCCAGTTATGAATTTGTCACTTATATTACTTTGCTAGGGCTGCTGTAATAAAGCAGCAAGTCTGGGTGGCTTAAACAGCAGACATTTACTTTCTCCCAGTAGGAGGCTAGAAGTCCAAGAGGAAGGTGCTGGGTCAGTTTCTTTTGAGAGCTGTGAGGGAGGGGTCTGTTTGGGCCTCTCTTCTGAGCTTGTAGACAGCTGCCTGTGCTGTGTCTGCATGTGGTTTCACTCTGCATGTCTGTGTCCTAATCTCCTCTTTTTATAAGGACACCAGTCACTTGGATTAGGACCCACCCTAAGGGCTCCATTTTAGCTTACTGACTTCTGTAAAGAGCCTGTCGCCAAATACAGTCACATTCTGAGCTACTGGAGGTGAGGATTTCAACATATGAATTTTGAGGGGACAGGATTCTACCATAACACTGTAAAGTGGATTAATGCATCGGTATTGTCATGGGGGAGCCTGACAGGTGAAGGGCTGGGACTAATTGCAGTATGTTGGGTGTGCAGTGGAGAGAGCGGGCTGGCTGGTGACAGTTACCTGCTAGCTCTGACTCCTGGAGCCAGGCTTACCTATGGGACGTGCTCTAATGGGAAACATTCTGAGAAGCCACTATGCCTTTTTTCTCCTGCTAGCGCCTTAGACCCACAGAAGACTAGTACTCCCTTCTCCGAGTTTCTCTTTAAAGCTGCAGTTCTCAACCGGTGGGTCGCGACCCCTTTGTAACAATGAAAACACACCGCAGCATTAGGAAGGTTGAGAACCACTGCAAAGACACATCTCCCTCCTCTAAGCTTTCCTTTCTCTAGATGTGGGCTTTGAGGGTGCGCGTGTTGAGCAAATTGCTCTTTAAATCTCCCGAGGCCTGTAGAGAAATGGGTTGACGATCACAGCCAGGGTCAGACAGGTGTTGTGGTGGCAGACTGCCCGGTCGTGGGACAGAGCCTGAGACAAGTGCGTGAGTTTCTCCCAGAGCTTCTGCCCGTCCTCAGCACCTGCCTCCCAGATCCTTCATTCACACTGTACTTTGTCCTGCTCCCGTCTGGGGCTCTCTAGGGGACCAGGGTGGGGACACTGTATGTGGCACCAGCTCAGGCTGCCGTGATGTTTTCTTGTAGCTGAAGAACAAGTGGGACGAGTCTATCTTCACAAAAGGCTGCATCCAGGTGCTGGAGGGCTGGCTCCCAAGGAATATTTACATTGTGGCCGGTGTCTTCATTGCCATCTCACTGCTGCAGGTGGGTTGAAGAGCCTGCAGGATTGACAGGTGGCCTTTTTTATTTGAGGGAGGTGGGCTGTTAACATAGATGTTTGTCCAGCTTGGGCCTGATGTTAAGGTACCTTATAGAAAAAACAAAAGGATCCATTTGGATGTCCAGGGCTGAGCGTGTGTGTGTGTGTGTGTGTGTGTGTCGGGAGCACAGTGGCTTCCATCGAAGTCGTGTGTTGGGTCTGGGTCCGGGACAGGCTGTAGTCATTCTCGTTTTCTCCCCATGGTGCTACCTAATGAGAGGCCTCTAGGTGGAGTGGGGTGGGACAGTGTGACCCTGTGCAAGTCTTGAGAGGGCCTGGTAGGCTTCATAAGCGTGCATTTCCTTTCTGGAGGGTAGAATCTGGGGTGCCCTCTGGGTGAGGCTGCTTTGGGGTCTCTCCCTGCTGATAGGAGGGTAGAATTTAAAGAGGTGTCAAGAGCTGCAGAGTGGAGGCGATACTGCTGGTCAGCTGGGGCTTGAAGAAGGCCTGATACTCAGAGATGTGCTCTTACCCTGAGACCTCTCCCTCCCTGTTCTGGGCATCTGGATTAGGGCTCTCAGGAGGCTTCCTTGTCCACAGCTGACTCTCTGAGGCCTGCTGCCCCTTGGGGCGTCTTTTCTCCTTCAAGGCTGTGTTTGTTCATTTGAACCAGATTTTACCTGTGGAAGGATATTAGTAACCGAGGGGGCAGGGAGGCCTGGGGTGAGTGGACTGGCCTGTGTCTGGCAGGTGAAAAATAGGTGGAGAAAGTCAAGAATTCACTGATAGCAGAGAAGATAGGAGTCTTTCCAGTTGTTGCCCAGGCTGTGAGAAGCAGCTCAGGACCTCTGAGCAGCTTCTGAGGCAGCTAATGCTGTTCTTAGGTGGAAAACACACCATTTAGAAGATATTTGACTCTGATTTTGCCTTGAAGAGGCGACTAAGATCGACAGAGCTGCTGTTACACCTTTCCCCTTCAAAGTAAGACTGAAAGAAACTTCTAGAAAAAGAAAGAAAAAAATTTACTGGCAAAGCAGGCAAGGGAATCGGACTTCAGAAGGACTAGTTATTCAAATAAGAACCACAATAGGAATTTAAAGGCAAAAAAAAAAGAGAGAGAAAACTTCAAAGGTTAGCAAGTTCACATTAGTTTGTTCTTGGTAGAAAAACATCAGTCTTCCCTCCTGATTTTCCTGTACACCAAGGCTGGACTTCTATTCAGACATAAAATTAGGGACAGGTTTACAGGAAATGTTCAAAACTTATTCTTTTGGGAATCAAAACCAGTCAGGGTGACCCTGTTATTTTTGGTTTAACCCAGGGACAAGTGTGTCCCGCCCCATGGTCTGTGCTGTGCTTAGTCATGTTGGAGGCAGGGCAGAGTGTCTGTTTGGCTTCTGCGTGCCTACCGTTTGCCTCTTTTAGGCTTTAGGGATACAGCAAATTAGACCCCAGGGTTCTCTTTCTTCTGGTGGGTCTGCCATGCTTTCCTGATTGCCAAAGTGTCGCTCTCTCTGCGTCCTCAGCCTTGGCAGGGTGGGTGAGGGAGCAACGTGCAGTGGAACGTTCTCCCCTTGCCCTTTGCTTCCTGCCCTCTGGCTTTGGGCCCCAGCATGGATGGCCTCTTACTCTGCTGGCTTTGGTTTCAGATATTTGGCATCTTCCTGGCGAGGACCCTGATCTCTGACATTGAGGCGGTGAAGGCAGGCCACCACTTCTGAGGAGCAAAGCGAGCAAGCGGAGCTGAGCCATGCCATGGAGGCCGACACCCTTCACTGTCGCCAGCCTTGTATTCAAGGGGGAGGAGCTGAAACACCTTCCCACGGCCAGCCCTGTCTTCGGCATCAGTGTGATGTGACCTCTCTGTTTCTGCTTGCTGGTCCTGAAGATTGAGGGACCCCCTTGTTACCTACTCACACTTGGCGACTACATCCCCACCAGGGTCTACCCAGAGACAGAGAATGTGTCTGCGTGGTATTGTTGACCCTGAGGGACAGACAGGGCTCATGACCACAGGGAGTGTTTGACTTGGGCCCGGAGCCCACACAGGTCTGCAGGACACCATCTGTTTTGGGTCATTCACATCTGTGGGTGGGCTTTGGGTAGAGGGGCCAGCAGGTGAGGACAAGGCTTCTTGCTCATTAGCACCCTGGGGCCTTGCTTGTAGCTGGGAAGGAGGAAGGGGCCCTCAGGGACCTCCGAGTGCCATCTGAGTCTGTAGTGGTATGTGTGCATCCTCAGCCATGTCCACATGAAGTAAGCCTGAGCCAGTGTGTGGACTGGTACCACGGGAGTGCCTTGCCTGCTGCCCCCAAGTCTGTCAGCCATTCTTTTGGGGCAAGAATCCCCAGTCTCAACAGCATTAAGTTCTAATGGCACCAGGCAGCGGTGGGGGTGGTGGGCATGGCTCTCCACTGAGAGTCTGCTCTCCTTTTCTTGAAAGTGTGTAAATAGTTTATTTATAGGGGTAAGAGTGTTCTCACCCATTTCTTCATTTCCTCCTCTTTCCTCCGGCATTCTCCTCTGAACAGCCTTATGTGGTGTCCACAGCTAGAGCCATCCCATTCAGTTCCCTTGAGTGTCCCAAGAGCCAGCCCACGACAGCTCCTCCTCCCCCTGTGGACACATCCCCTTCCTCCATCAACCCACATACTTCCTCCTCCCCAGCTTGGCCTCACTGTCTTCTGTCTTGGTGCTACTGAAATTGTCACCTAAAACTTGAATCCTATACTCCCTCCCCCGCCCCCACAAGGCCAGGGAACCCTAGCCAGAGGATGGCCAGTGTGAAACCTTTGGCCAGGGCCCCTTGTGGCCACATCCCTAGATCTGGCCTCTTTAGCAGCCAGGCCCTGCACCCAGTTGCACCCCATGCTTGGAATGTTTTATTTCTGACCTTCATGGTGATTCCCCTCAGTGGGATAACTGTGGTCACTGGGCCCACCTTCCTGTTGGGGCTGTTCTGGGACTTGCTCTAGGAAATGAAGTTGTCTTATGTACTGAATCGCCCCTGTGGGGATAGCTGGGGCATTCATCCATTTTTGACTGGGCTGCTTCCTGATGCTTCCCTGTAGCTTGTACCACTTTTCTCTTTACTGTCAAGGGACTGAGTGTGACCTGCAGGTTTTTGCTGAAGTGTATATTCTAGTGTGGTGTATACTGGTGACTGTTGATGACTTTTTTTTTTTTTTTTTTTTAACAATTCTCTGTAGGCTAGGAGAAGAAGAATGCTTGTGTATTTCACGGAAGTGTGATGCTTCTCTTTGACTGCCAAACTCTTTTACGGAATATATCTTTATATTAATGGTGTTGTTTTGGTCGTTTTTGTTTTGGGTCACTATCAAGATGGCACTAAGCATCTCAGTGGCAAATTTGGCTGCCAGAGGAACCAGTGGGAGAGGACTAGACCTTACAGAGGGTAGATGGTAAAAGCAATCCATGGTAGACCCAATCTAATGTAAATTTCATTTGCTGTGCCACTTTCCGTTATCCCTCAAATGCAGGCTACAATTAGAACAAGGTGACTTGTGGGTTAGTTACTCCTAACTATAAGTCTGAGCTGGATAAACTTTAACTAAAGAGACCCACAGGGGATGTTGTTTTAGGTCCTCTCTGTCTAGCCTGGCAATACTATTTGTTTATGTTTTATTAAATCATAATTTTGTACATTGACACATTTATGGGGTTCAGGGTACTGCTTCAATATACAATGTTAAATGCTTACATTGAACAGAGTAACACATCCATCAAAATTATACTCATTTGTAAATAGCCGGGCTATACTGTTGATCCCAGTAAAAGAAACTGGGGAACAGTGGATGTTACCACTTGACAAGCTGCATGTTCTGACCTTGCTGGTCCATTTGCGTGTGTGTGTGTGGGGGGGGTTAGTGGCGTTACCTCACCAGGTGCCTCTGACCCAGCCTGCGCTGGGAAAGCTGGTGGCATAGACCCTCCCGCAGCTCCTGGCCAGCTGCTCCTGCTGACCTGTCCTATCTAGTCACGCAGACCTGGTTCAGGATAAGGTCTAGCTTTTTCAGAGGTGGGTCTGTTTTTCAATTAGCTTACAAAACCGTGGGGACATTTTTATCTGTCTTATCTGATGTGAAGCAGTTGCATGAGGAAAGAAAAGAAAGCAAGGACAGGAGTAGGCACATGGAAGTCTTCAGCAGCATGGGCTCACTCTGCACAGAGGCACAGAGCCAGCCCCCAGCTCACTCCCCACCCAGTACCAGCTTGCCCAGAATCCTCACCTTCCCTGTCCTCTGAGCCCAGATGGAGGCTGGTGGGGACTTCTGCTGCAACACCTTGTATCCACGGTCCATACACATTAAGTATCGTGGTCTTTTCTTATTTTCCCAGCACCTCTCCTTCTGCCCCTCTCTCTGGCCTTCCTTTCTTTATCCTAAAAATTTGCCATGGCCCTGTTGCCTCCAGGAAGCTTCTTGCCTGGGCTCTCTGTACCCCTCCCTCTACCACCCACCACTCTCTCCATTGGCTGAAAGCTGCTTGTCCAACTGTCAACCCAGGGTCTCTTGTGGCCTCTGTAGCACCTGATGGTCTAGACCACCCTCTTCTCAAAATCTTCAGCATCTGAGCACCAGGCTTTCCACCTCGTTTGATCCTTTCCCATCTGTCCTGCTCAGGCTCTGGCTACAGCTGCCACTGTCCTCACTGGTCTCCAGGACTCCTCATGACATGGACTGTACTGCTGCACAAGAAGCGCGGTTCTTGGATTTTCCACATGAACAACAATAAAAATTAATGTATGTAGAGACTTTCTGGAAGATAGGAAGTGCTCAGAGTACCTACTAGTTAATACATTCAGTCACCGGAACTGCTCTGAGCAAGCCATTTTTATGCCTGCAACTGAGGCTCAGAGAAAGGTAAGTCACTATCAAGGATTTGGAAAGGCTGGATTCAACCCTGTAAGCTTTTTGCCCCAGAACCTCTATGTACAGCTAAAATAGGATGCTTGGTGACCACCCCTCCTGAATCCTATGTTTCTACTTGGTTCCTGCAGAGCAAAACCAGCCCGGAGGGCAGAGCCATTCCCTGAGATTATCTAGATCCTTGGATTCTGTGGCAGGTCGGCAGACATTTGGAAAAAGGGAGATCGTGTTGATTCTCCCGTTTCTGTACTTGGATTTGGGATGTGGAGAAAGCCTGATGTTGCTTTGAGGAGCTCACTCCCCATCTAGGCTTAGAGCAGTATTTTTTGACTTTTCTAAAATCTCACAGCACACTTGAATTTATCATTAAACGTCCACAGCACACTTAAAAATTATGTTCATCAAAAGAAAGAGTAAAGAAAAGAATACACATAATGTACTTAGAACTTCTTTGGAAAATAATTCAATAATCTTTAAAAATTTTTGCAGCATACCAGATGAAAAATCACTGGCTTACAGGCTCTAGGTCTGGTCAGCCAGCTGACTTCTTTGCAAGGCCACAGCTGTAGGTAGCAGTGGGTGTTCAATCCATAGACTGGTTACTGGTATAGTGTTAGGTGCTTACTTTACCAAAGCAATGTGGTTGGGAGGGCTGGAGCTGCCATCCACCCAGCGAACCTATGATGGGCGGTGTGTGCTGGACAGTGGGTGATCCAACACAGCCTTTCAGTAAGAGTCCATGCAGAGGAAGGCCACTGGAGCGGTAACAGACGTGCACACGGGTGTAGGCTGCTGCGATGTGTAAGGTCTCCCAGCAGAGGACATAGTGCCCACTGATAGCTTCTCAGCCAGCAGCCTCAGAAAAGCATAGACTGCAGGGTGCTGAGAAAGGGAGGCTGCAGTGGTCCCAGCACCTGAGGCATTCTGCTGCTATGAGAACATCTCTTTCCTGGCCTTCAGTTGGGGGAGCTTGCTGTATCCCTTCACAGGTGAGCCTTGGGCCTTTTAAGCTCTAGGGCCCTCTGGGGAGTGTCTGCCTCAGGATCACAGAGTTTTTACATTGCCCTGGACTATGAGAAATTGTCCCCAACGTGGATCTTGGTAGAGGTGCTTCCCTGTGCTCCTGTTTGTCATGCTCAGGAGGGGGCTGCCAGGCATCCAGGGCAGATGACCCCCTGCAGCAATGTTCTCATTCATCTGGGTGCTTTCTCCAAAAACATAAGAGAACTATATACCTTTAGGGCCTTTCCAGGACTTGGCCTTTCCTGCATAAACCTGCATTAAAGGCATGTTCATTTCAAATGCTTTTGGCATTTCCAAGGTGCCTCAGGAAAACAGGAAGTTGGCATTGTAGGACTGGGGCTGTGTAACTGTGGGAGGAAGAAGAAGTTCAGTGTACACTTATACGTACGCTTGTTCTGCTGAAGTTGCTAATCTTACAGATCCCGGTGTTGGAGAAGGGCTGAAAAATTAGTTCTTCGCTCGGCTTTCCTGAGCGCTCCATCTTATATTCCAGCAGGGGCTTCAAAAGCATGTTTTAATAACTACCAAAATGAATCACCACCTTGGACTGTAATTTTGCCACCTCAAAACAAGTTTTAAACTAGTGTTTTTTTAAACATACGTGAGCAAAAACAATCTAATTATAGGAAAGTGTAAAGTGAAAATTTTATCCTCTGTTCCCCAGAGGCAACTTAATACCAAAATATCTTTCCAGAAAACGTCCATCCCTATTCAGATCTTTACACAAGTGGAATCATTTCACATGGTATTTATGATTAATTTTACTTAATACACTGATCCAAGGTACATTTTCATGGCCACAGTGTCCATTGTAGGACAGTGCCAAGAGCAGATGGACCTTGCTCTTGTACCAAGGGAGTAAGTTTACAGTCAAAGGTAACAGAAAACCTAATTCAAACTGGCCTAAACAATGAGGGGAGGTTTTTGGCTCTTGAAACTGGAAATTCCAGAGGTGGGGTGAGTTTCAGGGCTGGTTTGATCCAAGTGGCTCAGTGACGTCAGCGGGTTCTGGTTTCCTTTCTCTCCCACTTTTGGTGTCCCCTTATCTATGGCAGAGGGTGGGAAGAGGCCTCTGTGGACAGACCTTGAACCGCCCGCTCAGGGGGTGGTATGGTGGTGAAGTCATTGAGGGGAGCCCCCCCCCATGCTAGGCCATTTAAACCACATGCAGCGGTCCTCTAGGATGGGGGCTGGACAGCTGGGGTGTGGCCAGCAAGTCTCGTTTCTGTGGCTGGATGGTGGGGATAGCTGTGTACAGTGTTTGGCTCTTACAAGGCCTTAGTAAACACTCCCCAGTATTTTGTTATCGGAATTACTTCTGAGTAGGGTTTCTAAGAAAAACATGCTTATTTTTTTAACTTGCAAGGCATTTATTTCTTATAGTTAAGAAATCGGAGAAGGGCAACATAAAGGGGCCACATCTAGTGAGGGCCTTCTTGCTGGTGGGGACTCTGCCGGGGCCTGAAGGTGGCACAGGGCATCACATGACGAGGGGACTGAGTGTGCTCTGTGTATCTGTTTTAACTACAGGAATTCTCCAGGGAGGTGGGCTCACATCTTAATGAGAGGGTGCTTGGGGCTGGGGTGGGTCTGTTGTGTGTGTGGAGTAATAATACCCCCTCCCTCATGGGATTGTTTAAGGATTAAATGACACAAGGTGGGTAAAACATTTAACATAGGTCCAGATTACTTAGTATGTACCCTCCCCCCAAATTATTGTTAATAGAATTTTAGTAACTGGGAAGATTTTATCTGTAGTTACCGGTCCCCACAGGTGAGCTGCCTGGCTTGCATGTAATACAGCTCAAGCTTTGAGCCTCCCTGAAATGAAATTGTCCACTTCCCTGTCCTTTTAGGAACAAGGTTTCGAGGTCTGCGGGAAGACTCCGCGGGCATTTGGAGTTTAATATCTGTTTGCTTCCAGTGCCACAGCAGAGGGAAGGCAAGAGAGGGGGTTGTCCTGAGAAAGGGAGGCTGCAGTGGTCCCAGCACCTGAGGCATTCTGCTGCTATGAGAACATCTCTTTCCTGGCCTTCAGTTGGGGGAGCTTGCTGTATCCCTTCACAGGTGAGCCTTGGGCCTTTTAAGCTCTAGGGCCCTTTTAAGCTCTAAGTTGCCTCTGGGTATTAAGTTGCATGGAGTGTGGGTCCTGCCAGAAACCAACACAACTGGAGAAGTTGCTCCTGGAGCTTCCAGAAGTGGCAGAGTGGCCTTCATTTGCCCAGGGAAGCCAGGAGGGATGGCCCCAGGGAGAAAAGGGATTATTATTATTATTATTATTGACACAGAGTCTCACTGTGTTGCCTTCGGTAGAGTGCAGTGGTGTCACAGCTCACAGCAACCTCAAACTGTTGGGTTTAAGTCATTCTTTTGCCTCAGCCTCCCAAGT